TTGGCAAGAGCGGAGCGAGTTTTTAATAAACCAGTGACTTAAAGTTTTCCATACTTGACTGTCAGAATTGACAAAGGTTAAAATTCAAGTCGTGCGTTAATATCTCCGAAAACATCCGATTGTTCGTAAATCCGTTCGGTAACATCCCGGGAATATCCAAAATGGCTCGGATCCGCAGGAAACGAAACTGATGTGGTAAAATAACGCTCTCCGCACATCAATTTACAATTATGTATTTTAGAGAATGGAGTAGATATTAGTATTTTATACAACAAGTGGGGTAAACGGCATTTGACTTAAAAAGTTTACCAAACGTGTCGCATAGTTTTTGGGTAAATTTTCGCCAAAAAACACGAATACATTCACTGACATAACCGTTAGAATTAACAAACGTCAAAATTCAAACCGTGGGGTAAATTCTCCGAGAACATCCGATTGCTCCCAAACCTGTGCGGGAAAATCCCGGAAATATCCGAATTGGCTCAGATCCGTGGGACAAGAATCTCACGTAACGTAAGTAACGTTTTGCGAATGTCAGATCCGTGTATCATTAGGCATTTCACAGAAGGGAGTAAAAAAATCAAATCAATCAAAACAAGTGCAGAAGAGACGGACGATATTGACATAAAAATTTTGAAACTGCTTGTCCCTGAATCATTAAAGCACATCACCCACATATTTAACAATTCTTTAACCACTGGATCATTCCCTAATGCATGGAAGAGTGCTAATATAATATATCTAATTAAAAGGTATCCCGCAATTATTAGTATTCTTCTAACGCTGTAAAAGGTTGGGGAAAAAATATTTTTCAGTAACAAAAAAAACTGTCAAAATTTTATATTAATTCCAGTAACTTAATCCGGTTTTAGCGATTTTCAGAATACCACTTCGGCGGTACTAAAAGTATCGGATGATATATTTATCGTTGTCGATAATAAACTAAATATTCGATGTGATTGGTATTCAAACTGTTTCCGATGCCCATCTGATGCCGCCGATACTTAAAACTGAATACTTGATGATAACTTTAACATATTTTGAAATTGAGAAAAAATATTGGCCATTTGGGTATTCTTATTAATTCTAGTTTGCGGTTTAATATCCATGTTAATAACATTTCGCAAAAATCATATTATAAACTTAAATCACTAAACAAATTTTAAATAGAGATGTAAAATTCAAGCATTGTAACAGTCTTATACGCTCCCAAATCGCTTATTGTAAAATAATATACTAGCCAAATATAATTTATAGGGTTATAGGGAGCCTTCAAAAGCTACGTCCTGCTCGAGTTTGATGACGTATCAGATGGTCTGAAGGATTCTGGCAGAGTAAATTTAAATCAAAGGTATAATACGACTATAAGCTTTTTTATATAATCTCACAAAAAATAAAGTTGATTGGTATTTAATTATTATTAACCAATTAAATCTGGTACCAGCCTTAGACATTTCGTCCGATATCGTAGTTTTTCTCGATCCCCCAACAATATAAGAGACTGCATTGTCGTGAAGTGTTAAAACAAAATCCCCCCAACATGAAACTCCTGGGTAACATTTCTGTTCTTGTTTCCTGTGTGAAAATAATATCTCATTAATTCAATTTTGTTCTCTTTTGTTTTATGCTGTTTAATCTAATTTTGAATTGTATTTATTTATTTAATACAATACATAAAAGTAATGACTCATTTTAAGGTTTACTCGTACTGCTCTTAAACTCCGTTGTTGCATGGAGTTGGAAAAATTAGTCATTATTATTATTATTAAAGCAAAACTGACTGGGACAATCCTACAACTAACTTTTAAAATTTTTTTCACCACATCTGATTGGGTAGCGTAAAAGGATAATTTGCCGTTTGGCCAATAGAAGCATAGTTAATTGGTGGTTATGCACAGATTATGCTTGGGTCGCTCTTTTTGTTGAATTAATACACCATTGAACACACGATCATTAACAAGAAAATAAATGGATGGAATTTGTAATTTCTATTTTATTATTAATTTGTAATTTATATTTTATAAGTTCTCCTGTGATGCTAACTTGGTTAGCGAAGGCATGTCCAGAATGTTGTATAGTTGTTGCAGTATTACACCACATATTCCAGTCGTGGGAATAAAAATTGATGCAAAATTTTATTTTAAGGGTAATATATAGAAAAATTTTGTTATAACCAATTCAAAATTTTATGTAATATTTTTGGCATGATCAATAATGTCGGACATTTTTTATGGCCAAAATCTTAAGGTTTCCATGTAAGCTGCTGCGTTTTAAATTTAAAGAGATCCATTGCCATAAGCATTTTTATAGAGTATTATGTTAGAGAGAATTCAGCCGGATTAAAATAAATCACAAACTTCGTATATAAGGATTCGCTTCCCCGCTATTAAGTGCCGCTGCTTAAAGATTAAGGCCTTTTAAGGAAACACTAAAACGATTATTTATTATTTACGTCCCCTTGGTTGTTTAAAACGAAACGCAGAAAAGCTGAGCAAACATAAGTAGATAAAATTATTAAAATTTGGAATATGTTCTCTCAAGTTCTATCTAAGGCCTACAATTTAACATTTTGCACACAGTTTGCAATTTGTTCAGATTGCAAGCCCTATATTAACTTTTATAATTCATTAATCAATAAATTAAAAAAATAAAACGCCTAGTACATTACATTTTCTATATATTACACTGGTACAGTGATTAAATAACTCAACTGACAGCTAAGACCTTTGATCAAAATATTGTTCTCGAATGAGCCACGTAGACTGAAATGAAAAGTATGTCATACAATTTAACAGTGAGAGAACCTTATACTTTTCTATAATAGATCTTTGCTCTGTGACAGTCCCTGAGCCGGAGAGAAAACACAAAACTGCAAAAATGTTAGAAACTTTCTTCGTGTGAGTTTAGAGAGCTGTACAGCGTAGTCCACTCGAATAGTCTGTGTCTACTACATCTGCTTGCCTTCTGTCATCCAGTCTTAGCAGTAAATCAAGCTGTTTGTTCGGGGATTATTAAGCATTTCACTTGACTGAAAATTCATATACTATGAGAAAATTTCATGAAACTACCAAAATAGATGACCTTGTTTGAGATTTTACCTTCTAGGATTTTTTTCAATTTCGATCGGGATCATTACACCTGCACATCTTCGCTCATCTCCGAAGAGTTACTCTCAAGGAAGTACAGCATCTTTTTCATGAATCTGTTGATTAAATTGGGAGTCAAATAATGTTAATCGGCTGCTCACTAGTAGCGCGCAGCAGGTTAGAAAATGAATTGGAATTTCCTCCTCATCTAAATAAATGCAGAGTCATTTATTCCTAACCTAAAATTTCCAAATATTTTTTTCTTGAAAATGGTTTTTTCAAGTTAAACGAAGCCTGCTGTTTTTTATTCAAAATCTAAAACTTGTGGATTATATTGAAAAAAACTAGAGGAAGTAACAAAAACTTACTAGATTCAGAAAAATTGGAGTTTTTGTTAACATGTGCTAATATCATAGTGGAAATTTATTGGAAACTTCGAACTTGCTTTCTCTCCCAGTCTGTTACAAGAAAGTAATTCAAGTTTTAGTTAAGAAATGACCTAAAATTGTTCACACGAAATATTACAGCTTTAAAAACGACCGGGCTTGAAGTTCCTTTAATTAAAGACAAGTATTTTGGTTGAATAAAATTCATTTAATCAAAACAGAACATTTCATTTTCAAAAAAAAAAAAAATTCAACTAACCAAAATTTGAAACAAAAACATTTTAATATTATTCTTGATATTTAATTAAATCTGGGTATAATCGGATTGCCAGCGGCGCTTTTCGTATGAAATTAAACGGGCTGTTATAGCCCGTGTTTTATTCTGGTAAAATTATTTTTCTTTTAAAAGAATGACAGGCAGAAATGCAGAAGATATTGCGGCGAAAGGCCCCAAATCCGCTCCGCTTAAAGTTTAATAAATTATCCTGGGCGTTTCACGCGAAATAATTATATGAGTTGGAATACTAATGCAATAATTAAAATAGATGTAAAAAATTACAAAGGGCAAGGGGCCTGTAAAGCGAGCTACTTGAAACCAGTTACTGCTTTTAACTCCTTGGTACTCCATTTTATATAGTCATTTAGGTTGTCTGCATAATATAAAAAAGATAAATTTACATTTTGCGCACTTATTTTATTTTCTCATTGGCTATAGTACACATTCCATTTATCTTTAATTTTCTTACTTCTTGCTATTTATTAATTCCAACTAAACTGAAGGAATATTTAAAAATGCCAAATATTAATTAATGTGTGTTTCGTTGCATAAGTTATTTGAATGGAAGTTCAGTTAAAGGATCCAATATTACTTTCTATCCTCTTTTAACCACAAATGTTAAAAAAGAAACAAGAAACTTGGGGTTTAAAATGTTGCTATTAACAGCTTGAGTTCTATAGATAATGTTATAACGTAAATAAACATTAATTTCTTTAAAGTACGCCTGTTGTTATCTCAAATTCCCCATATCATAAAGAAAATTCTGGTTCTTTGTGCCTATCCTAAAATAGACTGGTCAGAGATTGGCAGTTTCGTTAAACACCGTTGCGAGCCAAGGGTATGCGATCGTTCAAATGTTTTGTATATTGACGTTTGTCAGTTCTGATGGTCACGTGCGATGTCACTTGGTGATCGTATTTGTGTGGTGAATAAAGTTCAATCTGGCAACCTTGAAGTCGGTTAAGTCAACAACTGAGATGTTATTTTACAATATTCTATTGGCCTTGGATAAAGTTCTAGTGATTGGTCTTTAAAATGCGCCAAGCATTGCCACCGATATATTATTGTTTAGAGATTATCTGCAGTTTTACAGTATAAGCTGTGTAATGCTCCAATATTTTATATAATTATTTCACATTGCAAAATTTTAACGTACAAGCGTACTGGGTGACAGTCTACTAGCCTATAAAACCCACAAGAAAATAATCTTCATGCTCGTTTAATTAAGTAGAGTGGTCAGTAAATGTTTCCAATCGATATAACATATATTAATACAGTAAATTACCAAGTTAGTAAACGTGTCGCTCGTGAAATGTGCACACCAATATGTCGTCAATATACCTTAAATCGATCGCCAATTACTTAAAATGTTGGGGAATTGTCCCAAGCTATGATTTTGAGAAGAACATTTTGCATCATACTCCGAGATATCGCGTCATTCCACAATGGTCCTTAATGGTGATATGTTGCTTAGCAACCATCTTTTCTGCACGTGAGTTACTGAAGCGACCTTATCTGTTCACCACAACTGGAATTATATTGAACATATTAAGCATGATTGGCATATGTTGCATGATTCTAGAATGTTCGACAATGGCGCAACAGTGGGAACACATTTTTCAGCAAGTCCATCACATAGAAAATGTGTTGACGCCCAAGGTTAATGCCCCAAATGTATTTTATAAAAACCCGTTGTTCCAATTTTCTTTACTAAATTTGTGTACCCTTTTTGCAATTTTCACAAGTGCATTTGCAAACGGAGACTCCTGGATGTCTGCGCCTCAGTACGTGTATTTTTACCTCACTTCTTTGGCTTTTTTCTTAGGCATCAGTTTATTAACAACGATGAAATTAAAATTGAAAGAACTCAATGGATTATTTAACATGACCTCCAACTTTGCGGTTCGCTCCATCATACATTGCCACGATTTATTTTTCAAATTGCTCGAAATCGTGGAAAATTTTAACAGCCTTTTTGGAAGACAAATCCTCATCAGATCGTTGTACGACTTCGGCAGTATATTGATAACTGCCTTGTACCTGTATTGCTACAGAGACGGTATGCCCTATTTATCAAGGACACATCTAGAAATCATGACATTGGCACGTATTTCCAGTTTTGCTTTCATAGTGATAACACTGGTAAGTGTCAGTTCCTAATATGTACTAAAGTGAGATTTAAAATTTAGTTTTAAAAGTCAATAACGATTTCCGTGGACGGCAATCTGTCAAAAATCTGTAGAATATTGGAATCCGTATCTTCACTAGTTCAAATTTTCTAATATTTTAGCAACTCCCAGCATAGGGTGCCCTACTCATTGGTAGGTTTTTTTAATAGTAGAGTTAGTAAAATATATACTACAAATAAACTTGTTTAAAAAGTAAATCATTTATTTTTAGTCGCTTTAGGCGAATGGAAGGCACGTGCGCTTTCAAATATCACTCAAACTGTTTCGTCATGACAACTTAAAGCTTACAACATTTGCTACATCTATTTCTGCGACTAGTCACAATTTTGAAATCAAAGTTTGACTAAATCTGGGAGTGCTACAGGGGTTTATCTAGGTGCGCATACAGCAGTTTTTCAAAAAAACAGCAAATTTAGCAAATTTAATTGGGTTCTAAATTCTAAATGACATATTTTATTTAAAAAAAAAATCATAGTCCAGAAGATATATTTAAAAAATGCGAAAATTTCGAGGATTTTGGAATTAATTGAAAGCCGCAACCTTGGGTCTTGTCTTAACAACATATTAATATATCAGAACTAGAAGCTTGTTTGGGGTTTTAATGTATGTACTGGCCTCATTCTTCCAGATAATTAAACATTATATTGACCATCATAATTTCAGTGCGGAGTAGCGGGCCCAATATATATTTAATATCTTTTGGTTAAGAGAGTATTTAACGCGAATCTAAATTTTATGTAAACATTTTTGGTAAAATTATTTTTTTTATATAAAAGGTGCTTCTATTATTTGATAGCAAATTTTATAAATATATTTTATGTAATTTCAACGTCCGGAAAACTTTTTTAAAATTTTGGACTTTTTTGAAGATGAATTCAAAAATAGTTATCTAACAGTAAATCCAAAGGTGTTTCTTAAATTTGAACTTTTTACTGCACAAACCAAAAGTAACCCTAATTCAAATGAAATCAAAGTAATAGTAATAGATCTATTGTTTATTCAATTTTTGAATGTTTTAGGGCATGCAGTTTACGGTGATGTTGTGTTGTGACTTCGTCGTCAGAGAATCGGAGAAATTGTTGGTAACGTGCATAGATCTGCAGCGACGTTTTCCTCTGGATTCTGCCGAATATCGAGAATTGCAAAGTTTCGCCGACACCCTTACAAAACGGAAAATCTCATTCTCAGCCGCTAACTTTTTCAAAATCAATCGTTCCGCTATGTTCTCGATGCTGGGGACAACGCTGACGTATTTTATTACATCAATCCAGTTCATCGAGAAGCCAAATAAATAAACGCTTCAATAGTATGGCAACAACACAAAGCACTGTCATTTTCGATTTACAATAAAGGCACTGTTTAACCCTGGATTACTTATTTAAAATTATCCTGCGAACACACGAGGAGCATTCATTTTAAGATTATACATATCCAGCACAAGCAATCTACACTAATGCGTTCTCGAACGCCTCTGTGGGTTGTTTCATATCTCCCATTCCCACAGCAGCTAATTACAACAACATTAAGTTTACCTTTATTAGTATACAGTGCATTTCACGATTGTGTAAGTGTATGTCTTAAACTTCTTAATTGTTGAGATACAGGATGACAAATTTTTCAGGAAGAAATCTTTTCTTCTTTTTTACTACTTTTTTATTTGCATATTTACAAGTGAATATTTTCATTGGGTAATCTAGTAATTTGTGAGTAAAAGTCACCTCTTGGATTGAACTGATGTGGTTTTTACTTTATGTAATAATATATTATGCAACAAGTGCATCGGCATTTGACGAACGTGTTGCATATTATCTATACTTTTTCTACGACCGTTAGTTTTTGGGTACATTTTCGAAAAACAACACGAATACCGACATGACTGTCAGAATTGACAAACATAATTCAAAGCGTGGGAAATATCTCCGAAAACATCCGATTGCTCCCAAATCCGTGCGGTAAAATCCCGTAAATGCCCGAAATGGGTCGGATTCGTGGTAAAGTGACTTTCCACACGCTAGATCGGTGTGTAATTATTTATTTTACAGACGGGAGTAGAAAAATACATTTAACGCATTTAAATTAAAACAAAAATTGTTTAGATTTTTACAGTTATTTACTGGTATATTCCAAAGTCTATATATAAACAGGTAGTAATACACTGTTAATTACCGTTGTAGGATTATAAATGTAAATTGAACCATGGAGACCAGTGTAAATTCAATTCGAATAACTCAATTTGTTAATAATCTATAGGTTCCAACAAATTTATTTTTTGCTTTTTGCTTCATTATGTTAAATATCAAAATTATGGTCAAATTTGTACATTTCTGAGTTTAAATGATTGGCATATCGGACAAACAGGCATTTATGAAACGCATTACCGAACATAAACGAGCGTATAAAAATATATGTTTTTGTTCTAACTATGACATTCATTTAAATTCAGAAATACACAAAAAACTAAATTTGTTGGGAGCTATGGATATTAACAAAATCAAATATTCGAATTTATTACTTAAATGGATCTTCGTTATTAAACTTAAATGTGTACATTTCTGAATTCTAAACATTTAGTAATAGATTCTTAATTACCTTTGTAAGATTCTAAATTTAAATTTAACAATGGAGACTGGTTTAAATGCAATTCGAATAACTCCTTTTGTTAATATCCATAGGTTCCAACATATTTAGTTTTTTGCTTTTTGCTCCGTTATGTAAAATATCAAAATTATGGTCAAACTTGTGCATTTCTGAATTGAAGTGATTGGCATATCGGACAAACAGGCATTTATGAAACGCATTACCGCACATAAACGAGCGTATAAAAATAAAAGTTTTTATTCGAACTATGCCATTCATTTATATAGAGAAATGCACAAGTTTGACGAAAATTTTGATATTTTACATAATGAATCAAAAATCAAAAAACTAAATTTGTTGGGAGCTATGGAGATTAACAAAATCAAATATTCGAATTTATTACTTAAATGGATCTTCGTTATTAACCTTAAATTTATAGCACTACCAGGGTAATTATAAAATAGCTGTCATAAAGCAATAAATAAATGTGAAAATCTGAACATTCTAATTTAATTGTCTCACCTCTTGCGTTTCCTTTATCAGATACATTGACTAATAATCTTTGAAGAATCAGAGCTTGGAGTAAATTATAGTTTAAAAACGTCATCGTCAAGTCACTCTTTGCTTAGTCTTTAAAACCATCTTAACTTACAGTATATTTTGAGTATTAGCATTAGTTTGAGCGATTATTCCACATCATATGAAGTTCTGTTGGTGATATCTTCAGAATAGTAAGCTAAATCCCGACTTTGAGTTACATATGAAGCAATGCCAATAATTTAGGTTTCGAATTGTTCTGGATCTAAAAATGTCTTTTCATGCAAAGAATGCATATACTAAATTTTGCAAAGGATGTTCGATAATATAAAAAAATAGTTTTTCCTTGGAAATTTTAAATTCTAATACATCAAATGCAAAGACGTTTAGGATATTAAGTATTTTTAAGTGACATTTGATTTAGAATTTGAATCTGAAAATGTGTTGCTTTTTACCAGTTTCGAATTCAGTATTTTAACTTTAATTTCCAATACAAAAATAATATACTTCCAGATTTATAATTTTTACTGCTCCGAAATCGAGAATTATTCAAGATTTTAGGTTTATATTTGCAAGTTTGTCACATAAGACTTAAGTTAATGTAACTGTAAATAATAAGTATGGACAATTTTGCTTTGATAGCTCTAAAATTTAATTCTAAATTAGGCATCTTTATTAAATAGAATAACCATTATTTTTTTGCCATCGTCAAGCAGCACATTAGTCGTCAATCGAATTATATTAAGACTTTGGCTTTTTAAAGCGTGTTTGATGACCTTAGAGTTACGAGATGAATTTTTTTTTTAAACAATGCAGTATTTTTATTCTATGAACAAACCAACCTTAAAAATCTTCTTTGATATGATATCCAGTATAAAAATAAAGACATCGATTACACATTTTTTTAGCTTGAAATTTCAATTTTCACAGAGATTTTAACTAAACTAAATTAGCTTGTAAATTTTTTGAATTGTTGGCATAATAATTTAGGTGTTGGTGAATCAAGTGGTGTCACAATAATATAATACAATTATAACAAAGAAGCTTCTGATGTAATAAAAACACACAATGACTCAGGTAACACATGATAATGTTTTTTCGAAATCTTTGCTAATTATTAAGATTCGTTTTCATTTTTAACTTTTTATCTTATCACAATGTGGCAACGGTGTAAAATACCATACAAAAAGACCACGTTTCTCACTGTTTGAGTTGACTTTTAATGAAAACAGTTTATTTTCAATTTGTAATATTTATGTCGGCTATGTTAAAAGTTGTAAATCCATTGTCTCATAATTGACGTTAATACAAGGAGCGTCATCTGCAGATGAACTGTAGAGCCGACTTTCGGGGACCAAATAAATTATTGTGCTGCTGTTGACAAATATAAGATGGTACGTGGAATGGGTTGCAATTCGAAACACTCTAGCCAAATTTGCGCTCTAATGAAGTGTTTAACGTCATATACATAATAGTCGCTGCGAATGAAATATTTATTTTCTACTCCATTCTGTAAAATACCCAATTATACACCGATCTAGTGCGCGGAGTATCATTTTACCACACCAGATTCATTTCCTACTGCTGCGAGCCACTTCGGACATTTCCGAGATATTGCCCCACGGGTTTGGGAACAATCGGATGTTTTCGGAAATATTTCCCACGGCTTGAATTTTGACGTCAATTCTGACGTTCATGTGAATGTATTCGTATGGTTTTGCAAAAATGTATCCAAAAGCAACGGTCATGGAGAAGGTTTAGTATGCAACACTGTTGCATGATATACCATAATTTATTGAAGAGTAATTGTTTTGTGAAGTAGAAACTATGACTATGAAACTATGGTATAGAGAACTTATAAGTGTATGATTTGAATCATTGATGTTTTAAATAAAAATTTAATAATATAAAATAAATTAAAATTAAATCTGATGACATGTATTCTTCTTCACTAATATAAATGAAATGTTAACAACGATTAAAGAACAATATTTATCAGTAAAATTTGAATCCTATCACGTTTGAAGCTCTATCAAAGACTGGTTGTGCGTGAACAATTTCTATTTAAATAAATGTTTTTTTTTATTGTCATTGGTCATCCCGTAGTTAAAGCTCTAGCTAAAAACTCGCTTTATAAAATATTAACTATATTGAATACTTAACTATCAAAACCGATTTTTTCTGCTTCCTTCTGTAAAATAATTAATTATAAACCAATCTGACGTGCGGAAAGCGTCACTTTACCAAGTGAGTTTCTTTTTCTACGGATCTGAGCCACTTCGGACATTTCCGGGATATTACCGCACGGGTTTGGGACCAATCGGATGTTTTCGGAGATATTACTGCACGGCTTGAATTTTGACGTTTGTCAATTCTGATGTTCATGTCAGTGAACATATTCGTGTTGTTTTGTAAAAATTTACCCAAAAACTAACGGTCGCAGAAAAGTATAGTATGCACCACGTTCGGTAAACGTTTTAAGTCACTCGTTTATTAAACACTCGGTCCGCTCGTGGCAAATAAACTCGTCACTCAAATGCCGTTTACCGTACTTTTTGCATAATATACTATTTTGCCAAATCTTCTGCACTCACAAAAAAATCGTGTGCAACGCATGCTACTTGCATTCGTCTGCGTAGCGGTCTGCTATTGAAATTGAGCCTTCATTTCATCACTGCTCAGTAACTTCTATCATTCATCGCCGTTATTGAATAAAATCGAAATTGTACAAAAAAAATAACTTTAATCACCATTTTGATATACAAGATTTACAAAATGAAAGTAGAAAAGTTAAAGTCCCGCGGCTCTTCCGTTGCTCAGCAAATCTTTCCCGTTCTGCTTTTTAACATCGTCAATCGTCGACACAGACATTTTGCTTTCCATTAGATTTAACGGAAACTGAAACGAAATCTGCTCCTTAATGAAAACAGCAGTCGCGAGCTCCATGCCGTAACCTTCAAGTTCGGTAGTTCTTTTCGTAGTATCGTCCACTGCCAGGGGTTGTTGGTTGCGTCTTTTAATACACGCGTACACCACGACGGCTATTAAGGGTACGGAGAAAGCTACCGCGGTCATATAAACAATTGAGAGCCATCCGCTTCCGCCATTGTCACTCTCGCCCGACGTACTACATCCTGGAAGGTGGTGGATGTTAAGAGAGATTAATTTTTTGCCCCTCATTATACTAGGTGAAGAGCAAACACTTTGCTTGAACAAAACCGATTTGTTTGCACGCAACACAACGGCACTTATGTCGCACAAATTGCAATTCCAGGGATTCCCAGTAACGTCCACCGTCTTAATACCTTCCAGTGTTGCCAACGTCGCCTCGTTGAAACCTTTAATCCTATTTTTGCTGATATTTAGATAGACCAATTGTTTGGGAATAACGCTGCGAGTTATCTCGCTGAAGTTGTTCCTTGAAATATCGAGTTTTCGTATTCGTGCTGGAAAAAAGTGCTCCGGGATCACCTCAAGTTTCATCTGGGCCAGTTCAATGTCCGTTAAACTATGCAAAATTTCGATCACCATATAGATTAAGTCTAAGTTTAAGTTGTTGCCGCTCAGGACAATCCTTTTTAAAGTTTTCGTGATATGTGTAAAAACAATGGCTTCTAGTTTGTTCAGTTTGTTGTAGCTTATGTCCAAATCCTCTAGACTGGTGAGGTTTTTTAAGGCGTAGTCAGTTATTTTAACTATCCGGTTTCTGGCCAGCGTCAGAAACTTTAGTTGCTGCTGATTTATAAAAATATTTTCTAAAACGACAGACAGGAGGTTCCCGTCTAGCTTGAGGCTATGTAGTCGCCGAAGGTCTTGGAACTCGTCGTTGGATAAGAACTGGATCCCGTTGTCTCCTAGGTCGAGAAGCGTTAGATATGGCAGTAGATGATATATCTGAGTGTTGATCCTTCGAAGGCTACAGTTGCGACACTCGAACATTCGTAGTTCCTGAAATGAAAAAGTCTCGTTATAGCTTTCAATTAAATAGATTTAAATTCTGCTCAGTTTATATAAAGTCTGTTCATAGATATAAGAAAGTGACTAACTAATACGAATTAAGGAAAGACCCGGGCAAGCTGTAAGAATGAAATATGGCCGAACAGGTCCTTGCTTTGCTTAGAATTTAATTATTTGGGGTTTTGTTAGGAAAGATACTAAACAATATTTATTTATTTATGTATGTATTAAATTATTAAAATTATTCACATAATATATCAGTATCACTATCGCTATCATTGCCTGTTCTAATTATTATATGTTCTATATTATTTGCAATATGGATATACGATTGTCTTGCTTTTTCTATATGTTTAACAGAATTTGCCCAACTTTGTGGAGGGATGCTTGGGTTTCTATAAGTTTGAAGACATTGGAGTTAATACGGGGAAAATATTGTTATGACAAATGGCAGATTTCAGTTGGTGCCAAAAATTTTCAATGGGATTAAATATACAATGGTGAGGTGGAAGCCTTGAAACTGTATGCTCTAGATTTTTTGCATAATTATCCTTTTGTAGGTTCATTTTGTGTCACATGAGGAAGGGGCTTTTGTCAACTGTCTACTGTGATAACTTGCATTGTCCATTACAATGACGCTATTAGGAGGAATGTTTGGAACTAGTTTGTTTTTAAACCAACTTTCACCACGTTCAATGGGAGTCAAATAAACATTGTTTATAACTTCCTTAGTCTCAATAGAATAGTGTTTTCTACATTTGGGAGGGACTATCTCCTGAGATATACTAGACCAGCACATATTTTGCATAATTCGCACACGATTCAACACAAGCTGTATTACACACGAAATAAGAATGATTACTAATAAACTTAATCTAAGCAGTATATCAAACCAAAGAATATTAAATACAGGTAGGTATAAAATTATTTTCTATTACGGATCACAATTTTAGCTGAATTTAAATTCCGAAACTTTAGGTAATAATTTTGTTGCATTGTATGTTAATGACCACCCTTGGATAATCCCATTCAAAAGCAATTGGTCACTTTCTTATATCTATGAACAGACCATACTTAAATTTTCGAATAAAGAATTATAATTCTAATTGCAAGACACTATTTTATACTAGTGAAACTCAGTGATGAACACAGAAAGCCTTGATTATTTAATTCGTTTCAGAGGTTCTACTTAAATAGTTTTTGACAATTTTGTAGGCAGTAGTGTTCAGAAAATGGTATAACAAATAAAATCGAGAAAACTTTCTAAAATGAAATTTTTCCAGTAGAGACCCTGAAAGTTTATATTTTTTCTTATTTAGTATTAAAATAGAATGTAAGATAAGATATAATAATAAATAATAAAGAAGATTGTGTAAAAAAAAATAAGTAAGTAAATACTAGACTAGCTCTAAATATATTAAATATTGAAGAGACCAATAAATTTGATTTATTTAAATATATAATATAAAGAAGAAAATTTTGAAAACTAGTCATTAGTTATTATTATTATTCTAAACCATTTTTGCATTTCAATGCCGAAGTATTTTTTTTACTCTCTAATCTAAAATTCACAATTATGCACAACGGTCGCAGAGAAATTATATTATCGAAAAGTTTTTTCAGACCTCCGTTTGTTAAACGCTGGCTCCGTCTGTGCCACAATTTACCAGTGACACAGTGCCGTGAATAAAACTTGTTCCTTAATGTACTAAGAACTTTTGTATAACATAATTTTAATTTCATTCAAATCTAACCTAATTTAAATGTTTTAAACACTCAAGAAAATGTATATCTTATTTGAACTGAGGTGGCTTTTACTTGCTGAAAATCCATTTATCAAAATAAATAAGAACTAAACAATTGTCATGTCATAATATATAATTTCGTGAAAATATGAACTTTTAGTTCTTATTTATTTTTATATCTTATTTCCCAAAGCGAATTATAAGCGAATTATAATAATTCTTATCTCAGAAACAATTGTTAAGTTGTCTGTCGAACGGTATTATTTTCACTGTGGCCTTCAGAATAGATAGATAATTAAAAGGGTACTTTGTTTTACTCTAATTCGAACTGCACCAACATTCGGCTGTTTCTTTTTGTACTGTTGTACTTAGCAAATGCCTGCATCGTTTTGACAGGGATATCGGCTGTTATCGTTAGCCTTTGAAATTTATTTATTAACCGTTAACATCGCTTTTAAACATTGTCGATAAAAGAGCTCACCTTAATGCCTTTAACAAACTTCACATCGCTGCATTTTTAAAGGACTGGAGGATTCGTGGCATGCTTTTATAGCGAAACTTTTACGAAATAAAGGAGCACGACGGAGGAGATGCAGTAAAATGAAAATGAGTTAATTTTCCTCTCAAATTTACGACGCTGCGGCGTCGAGTGCAATATGAAAACCTGACTCTATGAAAATTCGGATTTATCTCTCTTTACCTCAAAAACTAAATGCGCGAATTATGAGAAAGATCCGTTAGTTACTCTGCCCCAAAGCAGGGTTTTAAATGCCTCGAAAAATTTTTATTTTACCCGAAAGCGATGATCATTTTTCATAGAAGTTTATTTTGGCTCATCCCAAATAATTGAAATATATAACAGCCATTGATGAAAATCCGTGTAATAAACTGGCGCTTTTGATTCACAAATTAAAATTAATACAAGCTGCCAAGAATGAAATTTGTGGTCGAAAGTAAATTAAACTCTTCTTGACACGTTTTTTAACTAATCAAAAGCTAACTAAGTAAGTAGTAAATAAAATCTCACCATGCAATCTAATAAAATAATATTCATGTTAATTTTGGATTGTCATAAGACATTAAAAACGATATTGATTAAAGTGAGTCTAAAGGGCAATCAAGAGCGCATAATCAAGCCACTATCGATGATGTGGAGTTTAATCAGAAGGACTGCAAACCTGCAAACTCTCTAAACTAGGCATCTACTTCTAGCTAAGCGTAGTAGAGTAATTATGGTAAGTAAGTTTTTAAGTTAGCAAATCCCAAGAATTTTGAATGATGCCAACTAAGCCTCGTTGTTAAAATTTGAATGACAAAATGTATCTAATAACCTATCATTAGTCATTTTTTAAATATACTCAATTAATTTCGAAAATGCGATTACTTTTTAAGAGAGAACCCGATTTTTAAAAAATTATTTCTAAAACAGTTTAAGTTAAAGTATTTTTTTTAGACTTTAAAACTGGTGTTTCTTTGCGTTTAAAGAAGAGTACCAAAAAAGTCACTTTTACAGAACAAAATTAAAAGCAACGCCATAAAAGTTCTGGGGGAAGATAATAAGAATATTAAAATTTTGTCAGCAGAAACATTTTCGAGCAAATTAAAATTGTGATCTATCTTAAACCATTTTTTGACATTTTTGACATGTTTTAACGTCTGACGGAGGCATTTTCGGAAACATGTTTATTAACCAAAGTAACCTTATTTTTTAATATTCTGTTTGTCGCAGAAATCATCAGGTTTCTAGAAACACCCAATCTTGCCTATTCTGGTAATACAGGAACTTTTGAGGCCAAAGTTTTTTATTGCGACAATAAAAAAACCATTCGTTTATGATACATTTTAAATAATTTTGAATTTAAAAGTATAAAAAATAGAACAATGCAAATTAAGTAAACCTTGATACCCTCAGTAAAGAAATTTCTTATGTGATTCTGGGGCTATCATTTATTTAAGGTCACCCCTACCTCATCTTTATTGATATTGACATCCTTTAAAATTGCAATTTACATTTAACTTTACTAGCCAGACGACCATGTGTAGTATTAATAGCTACTACTTACTTTATGTCAAACACATTTATGTTAAACACATAACCGTTGTATTTCCTTAAATTGTATTAGTCTGGCTTTTTGATTTTAATTACAAAACCGTTCAAAATAGGTAAGAGATTTTATAATTTTATGATGTATTGTATTGAAGTTTTGCAAAGAAAAGAGAGAAAGTTTTTTATACTAAGCAATCGAGTATGACCTGTGATGTACAAGTGGCGTTAGATTCGCTAAATAACGTGACAGTTCAGGAGTTAACCCAATTTTGTCGAGAAGGTTGCACAAATTAAATGGCGTCATTATTTAACATAGTTAAGATACTTAGAAATCAGGAATATCCGAAACTTCCGGAACTGGTTTTGCTAATGAGCTAAAAACGTCTACTAAATATCGATACATTCGCGAAGAACTTTCGGAAAATAGGATAATTGAACGAATCTCAAGAGCCGATTTCAGTGTGGGAAGCAAATTTATTGCTAACTTTTAATCTGCAAACATGCCGAAGCAACGTGGAACGTTGTTAAAACTTTAATGCGGAAATTTCTTCCGCGACATAAAATATTACCCAAGTTTTCCGTGAAGTAAAATAAAACATTCAATCCTGCTCGCGTCGATTTTGTTTCATTTTGACTATTTCGGCTCCTATTTCCTGGACGGCGGCGCAAAAAAATTGAGTCTATTTTATTGCAAAAATAACATCTATTTAATTATCCCGTGGGAAAGTTATCTTTCTTTTCAGTCAAAATGAATTTAAAACATTGGGGATTTCATCCGCGTGCCCAATTCTTAAACAACGAAATTAAAATTCGTATCAAATAAAACACAAACTGAAGAATCCGGATTTTCATTTCAGTTTTCATTTGGAAATTATTTTTCGAGAGAATTTAACTGCATGAGAACGTTTTCTGATGATCGTTAGCGAAAGGAACATATCTGAAAATAATAAATAATTATTCAAAGAAACTTCCACAGGCTACTGTAATGCTTTTTACAAAACTTCTGGATTCTTCCTGCGTCGGTTTTTGCTTAGTCGAAATTGCTGACATCTCGCCAATCATCCTGTTGGCTTCTTCAGAGCTTGACTGAAACTGTTTCAGTGTAGCAGCCTTGTCATCGGCTACAGAAAAATCGTACTCCTTTATTCCATTTTTAACCACATGTGTAATTTTAATTTTATCCGGCTTCTATTTTAATTTGACTTGACTTGACTACAGTGATAAAATGGATCCACGACTTGCAATTAAATCACCAATATTAAACATTAAATCTTGAAGAAATATTAGTTTACAGCCACAACTACACGAAAACCATATTCTAGATGCTCTGGATGCTAGTCAAGATCATCAGCATATGATATAAGCTCATATCGTGTAAGTTGTATTGTAGTTGTTCCTGACAACTAGTATTGTATGAATCTCCCAACATAAATTCCATATAGGTATCGCTTGATATTGTTTCCATTGTGCCTATTGGCTCTAATCTACATAAAAAAAAATTCACAAAATTATCGCTGTCCAAATTTTTGCATGGATTTTTTGAGCATTTCTATTAATAATGATTCCTAATAAACTTGTCCGTTTTTTCAACGAAAAAAAAGGGTAAGGTGCTTTGTAAATCTTGGACTGAAAGGATAAACATTTCAATATGGTGTACCTATGGGCTCTAATCTACATAAAAAAAAATAAATTAACCAAATTATCGCTGTCCAAATTTATAAGACGTATAAGACTCACAATGTATATTTATCAAAAGCCATCGTAACAAAAATAACACAATAAGCTGCTCGAATTCCAGCGAAGTATAATTCCAACATTTATGATAGAAAAAATAAATTGTTCATGCCACAAAAATATATCCAGCGATATTTACGGTCGTTTCTTAAGACCCTGTATGTAATTTCCTCAAAGCAAACAACAATTTACAACTTCACGCTTCGACGAATTTTGGCAAGAACCTACGTTTTCCGCTACGCGATATGAATTGTGCAGCTTATTTCACACTCAGTTAAAAGCTTTGTACGAAATTTAACGTGCAAAGTGGTGTATGATGTACGCCACTGCTGTGGTGCTATCGTTTTTGTAAATGTAACCAAATTGGAAGTTATATTTTGACTAAAACTTTGAAGTAGGATCAAATGGAGGTTCATTCGAATGTCACAGTTACAAAATAGTTTTGGTTAGTTGTTGCTGTTTATGTATAACAGCAACAACTAACCAAAACTATTTCTCTTTCTCGGAGTAACTTCCACAGGTGAGGTGAAATGAATTAATATTTTTGACTATGTTGTGTTTTGATTTAAATATTTTAGTTTAGTGTAGATTACGCTTAATATATAAATTATAAAAAATTCAAATATACCACTGAAGTTCATTTTTTTTAATTTGATACACAATATTGTACTTACAATATAATAGATTAGATTAGATTATTACAAATAAATATGGAAGAAATGTATCATATCAAATCATAGAATATTTATTCTGGATATCGATATACCATATAAATCTGCATACGCACCTATGGTATAGATAAATGGAAGGGATTTTAAAACCTTTTCCTACTAAACACAGCATTAATTTTTACAACTTAAAAAATTCGAGACTGATGGTCATTTCAACAGTAATAAATTATAATTATAAAATTAATAAAGGATCTGAGATAAGAAACATGGCGTTTCTGGATGTATGTGAAAATAATTAAATTGTAATTTTAAATAAAACATCATATACTTTATTACATTTTACAAATACATATATCAAATTGTAAGTAGCTCCTATCGCTATTGAAAAAAAAAACACAACTATGCTTTTTTAACCGAAATTTTTTTTACGTGTACAGTCAACTACCAGCGTTTAAACCGAAAAAATTATAAATTATTTCCGTATTTTTAGAGATCATAGGAAAAAGGAAATCCCTTCAACGAACAGGCTTGGTGAGCTTTATATTAAGTTTTGGCAGTTATTGGACATTAACAAAGAATAAAATAAACTTCTTAATATTAACATGCAAGATATGTCTACAGTCCAGAGGGTAGGTGAAGACTATTGTAACAGCTAGAGGATTTTTGAGGATTAGCCATGGTTGGTTTAAGACCAATTTCTAACGTATATTTTAAAAATTAAGCAGGCCTTCGATGAAAGATAGGACAAAAAGCGATCCACAAAATTTGCTTAAAATTGAGAACTAACTTCGTAAATCAACTTGCAAAATTCTCCTTCAACTATGATTCGTTTAATATTATCAGCCTTTTTGACAAATCGGTTAAAAATTTATTTATCAAAGTTACTATAAAGGTTCGCTAACAAAATTTTTAAATCTTTGGTTAATTTTGGTAACTCATATTCTCATTTTTTAAACAACTCATTCATTTTACACTATTCGGTCATAAATAATATCAGGCATTTCAAACAGTCTCGGCGAACACTAGAGATTAAATTGTATTTTAATTTAAACACTCTTTCATGAAAAATCTAAATCTAAATCTAATTTACCAATATGGCATCACTTGATCCGAAAGATCCTCCTTCCAGCCAATTGTCGAGGGCAGGTTATATTGCGGTATATTTCTATTTGATATTTCAATCTCAATCCGTGAATTCGCTTCGCTTTGATTTGTTTTGCAATTTATACCGTTTTCTTATCTTCCACACTCACTTTGCCACGGCCGAAATCCCGTGGAAATCGATTTTACATGTGAGGGGCTTTCTTGGCAGCCTTCGTTTAAGTTATGCTAAGTTTCAAGTTAATAATAGCATATTATTCAACAATTTCATAAACATCACCGTCATTTGGCACTAGCGGAGTACAACAGCATTATACAAAAATATCCAGAAATTGAAAGGAAAATTTAATAATTTTCAACACTTGACATCCCTAGCAACTTATTATATGGTCAAATGTAGGAAGACCTAGCATAGCATAGTCGGATGCAGAATAAAATACTAGGCAAAAATACTGCGCATCTCTCTTAGATCGGTCAATTAATTTAGTTCGAGTTTGACGTTTATAAACTAACCCCATATAACTCACAAACTTACGAACAATAAACGTCTAAGAGAAATATAAGTTTTGCGCGAGAAGTAATGAATGAATGAATGAAAACCCTTTTACCATTATTCTGCCTATAAGTTGCATGTCAGATCTACTTACCCTAGCTATCGTGAAGTGAAAACTACTTCTCTATCAACGAAGCAATAGAGATAAAGATCAATTTGTTATGTCTAACAAGTTACCCCTCCATCATTATTTGTCTCTAACGTATATTTTCAGTGATATTTGGTAAAACTGAAATTAATCAATTAATAACTTATTTATGCCAAAATATTGCACACAACATCACTCCACCGAATAGTTTTATACCTTATTATTCTCGTAGTGGGAAAACCTTACAAATTATATTAGTCAAGCGAAGTTACATACGTCAAAGAAATTTGAATATTCACTGTGGAATTTGGAAACATTTATCCCTATTAAGCGTACTTTACTATTTTAACGATCCTCTTTTATCATTCATAACCCGAGCTGACGTACATATAAGCAAGGATTTCTGCAACTGTATAAATTTCTAGCTTGGCTAAATTAAGCAGAAGCTTTGGCAAACTCAGTATCCCGAGGCCGCAACTATGCGGCATGGAATTGCAGGTTATTTATACCACGATGCAAATTTCCCAACCGTAATACGACGTATCGCTTATATATGACACTTGAATTGACAACGGTTTATCGCATTTTGGCTTATTATGTATCAAAGAACAGATAAACTAATACCACTGTAACCCAGGCTGCTCTGTTATAGTACCTAAGAATTATTTATATTTGTATATTAGTTTCTTGACCATAAAATTGGAAATAGAAAATTTGCTACGGCTCCTAAACACAGACGCTTGCATTATTATATCGTAACACGAAAGTCTTTAACAAATATGACAACCGCGCATTATTGTCATTTACTATAGAGGTGAAACTGATGGTTCAAGAAATTAGAAAATAATTTCGGAAATGACCAGCGTGTTTTTTGTTTAAAAATTGAGATAAATTTAAATCTGCTTGTTTAATGTATTTTGCTCTATCTTTGGAAGAAAAGTGATAGGAGATGCCCGAATATTTTAAGAAATAAATGTCGACACCTGTAGAAATGCTTAAAGCATTTTCACACACTTTGAGTCCTTAAAGAGGGCATTTCCTAGGCTATAAATTGTATTTTCTGATATAATCGCAAAAAGGTATGTAGGTATGTCAGGAAATAACTTTCTGAAAGATTTTTTTTCAATTATGTCATCTTTATGTCATAAATCTCATGGCAAAATAACCAATCGCAATCGGCTCACGAATAGCCTAGAAAAGGCAATTAACTTAACTATTTTTCCATAGTTAATAAAAAAAAAGGAGAAAACGAGTTTCAAAAATCAAAGTGACAATTACGCCTTCTGTCAGTTTTCGATACCTACTGAACTTTACATGTAGTTCCTACATTTCTAACTTAAGAAAATTAATATACATTCAGTGTTGCAGTTGTAAGCTAGCTAGTCAAAAACAGTCATAAATAATGTAAAAAACATATTTTTATTTAATCAAACATTCTACTAAAAATGAATCAATATAGTCAAATTCGATGCATTTTTAAGTTATGTACGCTACGCCATGCAAGTACTCTAGCAAACGCAACAATAATTAAGTAAATAAAATCGCATAAATTGCTTACCGGAATCTCCTTAAAAGCTTCTGGATTAAGGTCCTCGAACTTATTTCCGCTAATTTTGAGCACATGTAATTTGGTCAACTTGAGGAATGTTTTAGGCACTAATTCCTTCAGTAAATTCCTTTGCAAACTCAATATCCTTAATTCCGTAAGATGTTTGAACACTCCGCTTTGCAGCGACACTATCCGATTATCGTCCAAGTTTAGTTCGACAAGATTAAGAAGGCCGCGGAAGTTGTGATCTAACACATTGCTTATATTGTTTAAACTCAAGTTCAACACTTTAAGGCTTGGCACTCCCCAGAACGCGTGCATACTGATTTGACTGATGCTCGAGTTCCGAATGTATAACTCTTCCAGGAACTTGAAGTGCTGAAAGCAAAAGAAAAACCTATAAGTAAATGACTACGAAGATAATTATGAATAATAGTATATTATGCAACAAGTGTGGTAAACGGTAACCAGTGACTTAAAAAGTTTACCAAACGTGCTGCATCTTATTCTACGACCGTTAGTTTTTGGGTACATTGTACATTTACCCAAGAACTAATGGGCGTAGAAAAAGTATACTATGCTACTTTTGGTAAACTTTCATTTATTAAACTCCCCGCTCAAATGTCGTTTGCCACACTTGTTGCGTAATATATTATTGTGGCTTAATTAATTGTCATAGGTAAATTGTCAACTCAATGGCATTCTATTTAAATTAGTCAAAATTCTACACGGAATAAATAGTTGTTTTCAAGACATAATTTTAATACATAGAACACAGAAAGTAACGTTTATTTTAAAGAATTGTGCCTTAATACTTCCGTGTTAACGGTTAACCTAAGATCTACACAGTTGCCAAGAAGACGACAGCACAGAAATGTATACAAATTGTTTGAGCAGCTGATTATTTCTTAAGCATTAGTTTGTTTTTCATTTAATTTCATAACTGAACGCAATATTTTAATTCTCTCATAGATGGAGGTGGTTGTATTGTGTTCTTAAGAAGCACTCGGTAATTTAGTCGTCATATATCATTCCGACCTGCATAGGAACACGGCAATAAACGTTCCAGAACAATAGATTTCGACATAAATTTCAAGTCGAAACCAAAATTGGCAGTTTGCAAACATCGTTATGCATCACGCGATGGTCTCGATGCATTTTCCTGGCAGTTTAACAAATCTCCCCAAGAATTATATGAGTTTGTGAGAATCGACTGGAATGTTCTGCTGCCTTGCGGCATTGCTCTGGCAACCTGTACGTAATAAATTTTGGGTATCCATGTCAGGCTTGTTGTTGCGTACTGAAAGCCAACGGACTAAAAAAGTGCAGCTCTTAAATCATCGTGCGGGTTGGTTTTGCAAAAGTTTTATTGTTGATTTAGGAAAACGGTACAAAGCGGCGAAAAATTTGCATGAACTATGTGCGTAATTTTAAACCCCCATATTTATTGAATCGGTAGTTGCCTGGTTTACAAAAATGACCTTTTTGTCATTGGAAGTTGAGGGTAAAAAATGTTCCAGTTTGCATGTACCATAAAATTTGGTTGCTGAGCATGAAATTTTACGTGTGCTTATTTTATTATTATCTAAATTATCTCATTAAAAAATTATTAAGGCAAGAGGTAATAGTAGAAGTAGAAGTGTTTCAGTTTGAGTTAGAGTTCTCCGAAAGATATACCGTTTTCACGACATAATTCGGTTTTTAACTTTGGTAAATTTTTGTGACCTGCAGAACCGTACTTTGGTACTTCCTGAATAGAAACGCTGAAAGCTGACGGATTTGTGTATAGTTTCTTCGGTGAGATTCCTCGATTATTATTAGTCCATGAAGTAAAAAATCCATTCTTACTTTTCTTTTTCTTACTTACTTTCTTACTCTTAAAATACAACAGCTAACATACGGAATTGATTTGTGGTACAACTCTACTAACCAGCAATTTTTGTTCAGGATGTTTCTAAACTAGCCGAGTAAACAGACTCTACCTTAAAATACCCAGTTATGCACCGACCAAGCGTGCGCACTGCTTTCGATACTTATGTCCAGTTTAACGGAAGTCGTCAGTACATTTAAGCAAAAGGTCACGTCACGTAAATATATGCGTGGGGTTTTGCCAAAATGTACCCAAAAACCAAACAGGCCGCAGCAAAACAATGTTGCTGGGCTGCACTCCGCTCGTGCCAGATCAAACTCGTGACTAAAGTGGCGTTTATTAAACTTATTAAATAATATAATATTACCGGAACATGTTTGTCATAAATATTTTTATATCGGGTTTATATGACCCATTGCGCTGTCATATAGACTGTAACTGTGAATAGTGAAATCGTTCATTTTTTATAATTTTGACATGTTGGTCTCTATTCGTGTACGATTTCTGTACATACATTTATTTAATTTAAGTTAATGCAAATCCAAAAAAAAACAAGTGAAATCACAGGTCTACAGTGATTTTGATGTTTGAAAGCTATTTGCTTATTTGTATATTTTTGAGGGCCCTTTTTCCAAAAAACACCATATTTTTGCCCTATCAAGTCTTTTTTTTTATAGCGCTCTATATCTTAAAAATGTTTTTTCAATAATATATGATATAAATATGTTTGTTGATTGATTGGTTTTTACGAAATTAAATGTGATTTGGCAACACTGGATAATGTTAGATTTCTCTGCAAAGCAACAGAGTTTCCGCGGAAGCGTGAATACAGAGTTGTAACCTATTTATGCGCAGTTTTGTTGATTTGGTCGTCGTGCTACTGTGTTCGCGGCTGTTGTCATCATTGTTGCGATTTTCTACTGGTCTAGAACACATACATTTGGAAAGAAGACATTGTGTGAACAATCCAAATAACTTATGTTATATCTGTGATAGTAAAGCAAAGGCAATAATAATTGTGAAAAATGTATACCTCGCTTATTTTGGTATAGTTTAAAGGGCGTCTTATTGCACGGCCTCGGTTTCCGTTGCACATTGGTTACATTTAAAAGAAACGTATGAAAATTTAGGATTTCTTTTGAAGAAAGTAAACTACCAAGAACATCAGTGGTTTCTGTGCTTTATTTATGAGTGGGATAGTCGGGCAAGAGATAGACATTGGACTCAAATAGAATGGCTCTCTAGAACAAGTCTAACACCTGGTAGCAAAAACGTATTAAGAGATAGTTTAGTTGACCCCAAAACAGTTTTACTGCACCCTCTTCAAATCAGACTTGGCTTGATAAAGCAGTTTGTTAAAGCTCTAGACAAAAATGGACAGTGTTTCAAATATTTGTGCGAGAAATTTCGAGCCATATCCGATGCCCGGATAAAGCAGATAAGAACATTTTGCAAAGACAAGGATTTTCAAAACACAATGACCAATATCGAGAAAAACGCCAGGGTTTTATTAAAGAAGTAATTGTTAAGTTTCTTGGGCACCCTAAGGACGAAAACCACAACGGTATTGTTCAAAATATGTTAGAACACTTTCATCGTCTAGGTTGTAATATGAGTTAGAAGTGCATTTCCTGTTTTCACAGTTGAACTATTTTCCTAAAAATATTAGAGCAGTTAGCGAAGAACAGTCACAGGTTTCATTAAGGAGCGGTGATACCAAGGCCGATGGAGCGTAATGATAGTGGCGGACCACTGCTGATGTTAAAACGGAATATGCCCTGAAAAATACACACATACACATTACTGTTAAAAAGACAAGGATTTCACTCAAAAAAATCTGAGTAAAGTTTTTTTCATTTTTTTTTTCATCATTTACTGAATAAAAAAAATTGATTATTTTAGAAATATCATGTTTTTTTTTAATATTTGCAAAAAATTATATAAAATCAGTTTTCAAAATAAAAACGTCTCTCAAAAAGTTTAATTTTGTAGACCTGTGTAATCTTTATTTTTCCATGTATGGTTCAGAAATAATATGGTAATTAATAATAGTGGAGTAATAAGTCAGTGGATTTTGCCAGATGATACTGATGGCATACAAAAGTCTCAACCTACCACATGTTTCAAATATTATTGTAAATACAGAGAGATGATTGCTTAAAAGTAAAATTGCAAGAAGTACTGCTTTATCTAGTTTATAATCACAAATAAGAAGTGCTCGATATCGACTACTTCTACTATTATGTTGCTGTTGTACGAGTTCTATCAAAAATTTTATAGAATGTATTCTAAGCTAGAGACTCTCACTGTATAAACAATTTCTTGAATATATTTAAAGTTTATATGGAAAAACACTTATTAGAAATTATACAATAAGTTTTATGAAAGACACTTGAATAACTGAAAATTACCGGTTCTTGCGTGGTTTCTTGTCGCCTTGGAACAATCTTCATAACAAGTTATAGTGTAACAAGAAGTATATCAACGTGTTTGCCTAGTGTAACTGTACTACAACCATTGGGAACGGCTAAAGTGGCTTGCGACAGTCTCTAACAATGCTGATGTCTTATAATTACACTTTGCGCACGTTTGATTGGTGGAAATTTTAGAGCAAACAATAGAAAAAATATAGGTATAGTATCATTTCTAGAAAGTAGAGTAAATAAAATGTCAAACTTATTTATTAATCTCTAGAAAATGTTGGTTACGTCAATTCTTGATTGAACTTTACTATAGTGTACAGTTGTTAGACATTAGTCAAAAGTTTAACTGGAAATATTATTCTAAGAAAGTCTTGAAATTGGTGATCCGCGAGATAGGTACGTGAAATTCGAAAAATTTGTATTCGACAAAAATAAAAGTCCGCACAAACAGATCTGCATCTGCCACAGATATTAAAAGTTATAAATGTGTTTCGTTCAAAAAGTAGAGATATAAATCCGACTGGCTGCCGACCGGGTATTAAATAAGATTTAGGTCATGCAATAAGCCGCGGTGAATATACCGTGATTTTAGGTTCTATTATTTTGGTACATCTATGAGATGTATTTATAATGAATCTTTGCTGAACGTTTCATTTATCTATTATGTTCTCAAGAGAAATTATTCTTTCTTTCCAGCGTATTTGTGTCTGCTATAAAACTTCGCATCTTCGGTTCAGTTGATCGCACGAACAGATCGCTAAATCTTTCATGCATAAAGCGAAACCAAGCAAACCAGATATACAAATACGAATGTATGATATTTATCCTGACGATGGCGTGTCACAACAGGTTTGATCTGCTTCGTAGCAGAACTGCTTCAGATTTGTCCGGAGTTTGAGCAATCAAGTCTTCAGGTTTAGACAGAATCATTCTGGAACCTGTGATTCTTTTTCATTGCGTTGATTTCATATTATTATTATGTGGATATCTTGGTTCTATTACCGTGTTTGGTTTGTGTATAGTATTTCTTTTAGTTTTTCCTCGGATTAAGTACCTAATATTTTGTTTATTTTTGAAAGGTTGGT